ATACAGAACCAATAATCATAGGCAGTCGTAGCGTCAGTTTCAATGGAACGCTTTTTTTCTTCTCTGTTATGATTGTTGCAAAGACACAATCGTTTTGTCGTCAGTTGAGCATTTAAATCCACTCATTTTATTTCCACTAATAAATTCATTACATCAATCGTGCGCTTGTTCGGTATCTCTAAAAATAGTTATTGAATTGCTACAAAACTTCAAATACAATGATTATTGAATCGTTTGGATGCTGTTTTGGAATGTTTTCATTTAAAAACGATCACGTGCTTTGTATTTTAGATAGAGAAAGAAATGAGTCGAACATTTAGACTTTATTTAACGCGAACACGAGTCAGAAATGGAGAACAAAAACATTTAATTAATCAAATAAAAGACTCGGAATGCGTAAATTATTAGCAAAGGAGTAATCGTTGACTAATGTAAATGTTGGAATATGTAGTACACATAAATGTGGGTTGAACTTTCTTCTTGAACTGCATTCACATGGCATTGGTAATTTAAAAAAAATGTCTCAAATACATGTGTCTCTTTGTTTATTTTGCACGATATAATGATTAAGCAAGATGTCCTTCAACTTTTTTCGATTGATTGCAAAATTATTGCACCCGCCAAAACTGTAATTTTGTTTACAATCAGCTGGGTTTAAAAACGCTTGACATCGATGTTAGAAGCGATGATGAGGAAAGAAACGTGTTTTCTCCCCAAACCACGATATTGAATTATATGAAAAGAAAAGACGACATATTTATTGGATTTAATATGTAACAATGATGACAAATTCATCGGGTCAACATCATATTACATTTGCTTAAACTATTCAAATTTATTTCTCTGTGTCATTGCTAACTGGCTTCACACGAAAAAAAAAGTTTCTATTTATTGTATGATTTAAACATCAATAAATGTCATACGCAATGGGTGCGGAAGGGAAAAAGATATTCTGTTTAATAAAGTATGAAAACATTTGAACTTTATCAGACAAAGAGTAATAAAAACCGTTTGGAGTTTGATTACAATTTTTACACAGAGTCATTAACTCAGTTTATAAACATTTTGCCAATTAATTGTGTTAACTCTGGAATTTATATTGTTGTGTTTCGACATTTTATGCACACTCACCGTTACATGCCAAATTACTCATGCAAAGTTTGATCCTGTTTTTGAACGATGATAATGTACATGGATCGATTTCGTTACCAGCAATTTATAAAATTGAATCAAAAATCGATAGAAAAGAAGAGAAAGAAGAAGAAACAAACATAATAAAATTGATGCAGACAATTCCGCATAATTTTTATCGCTCAATTGGCACCTTACGCAAATTTAATCACCATTTTCTATGCAAATTTTAAATTCATGCATATATAATATTCGAATGTAAACCATTTTCGCTTTATTTCTTTTGCGGATTTGCAAACAAAGTTCCATCATCATACTGAATCAAACTCCGCATGTTACAGATTCATCTCTGATTACGCTAATTGAAATTCAACATACGGTCTCAAATTAGTTTAATTATTCTAGTTTTATCCCCTTAAAATGGTGCTATACGTGCAAAAATCGGTTATTTTACTCGAAAAACGACAACAACTACGAAATTTCGGTGAATTTCTCAAAGGTTAAACGAAATTTCCTCTGTTTTGGGTGTGAATTCAACCAAAAAAAGTGGTCACCACCTGATATACAGAGGAACATTCAATTAAAAACTGATAATTGGAAACAATAGTGTCTGCTCACTCACGTTTCAGAATGAAGATAATTGATTTCATTTATATAGAATGTTGTTAATGAGTTTTTATTGAATGTCGATAACCAAAATGAAACAGAATGTATTGAATGATGATCAATTTTTGATGTGTGAAATAATAACAAAAACATTCATTGGCAACACTTTAATTTAATTAATTAAATATGAATTAATTTGTACAATCTCCAAATGTGTATTCGTTTCAATTTATAGTGGTCGAATTTTTGTCAATTCGCCTCTGCATTGTGAATGAAGAATATGTTGATTGACAATAAGTTTGTGAAAGCGTTTATTTATTATTGATACAACAGTCACATACGATTTTTTTTCGCAGATTCGATTACACGAGAAATAAACAGATCAAATGGTATACTATGTGTTTTTTTAGCAAATGTGCCTTGAAACCATGGTTGACTCTTTGCGAATTCAAAACTGTTCGAAATTGGTCATAGAATCAAATATTTAGACGATGATTTCAAATATTTGTACGCGTTTTTGTTTGGCACAACAATGCTGGAGTCGCCATTTTGAGCGTTACAATGATTGAGCAAATTAAGAAGCGATTCAAAAAAGTAGTGAAAAGGCCGAAAATCATACGCAAAGTTTTTTATTTTGGATTTTTAAAAAAAAGTCATATTCAGAAATGTGAAGTGTCATTTGCAAACATTATAATTGAATGGAAATCGCCAGACAAAACATTGGCCGTATATTTGATAAAAATGTTTCACCTTTTGTCATAATGGCGATTCAAATATCAAAACAGAAATATTTTTTTTGTTTTTTGAATGACAGTATTGGACAATCAGAGTTTTTTTTTCATTATTAGCTATGGATCCATTCATCAAAACTGTTTGAATTTCAAGTGGAAGAAATAGGAAATGAAACGTATGTGCAAAATTTTGATTATTACAGAAATAGATTCACGAGCGAGTATGACATACAAAATAATATATATACAAAACGTGTGTTGAGTTGAAAAAAAAAACGCGAAGCAAGAGAAGAGTGAATCAAAGCCAAAAAATTGGCTTATCGTATTCCATTCATATTTACGATGGAAAAGTTTAAAAGTTGTTTTGTACTACGTTGTGAGAATGACGACATCATATCATTCTGCAATTTTCTTCTTTTTTTGTCAGAAAAAGCAATAAAGTGAGAGAAAATAGACTGCTGAATCAACAACGGCAAATTCAGCAGCCGTTGAAATAATTAACTATTTTGAATGGAACAGAGATAAATTGTTTGTGTTTGCGCTTTTGTTTATTCATTTACTTCATGATCGTATTGTTTCTACCAATGTTAGTCATGTTTCGTGCTTTTAAGAGTGCGATATTGATGAGTTTGTTGTACGATATAAAATGTGTGTGCGACAGTTTGTTGATGCCCAAAAAAAACAATTTTTTTATTGACTGACATTGGATGCTGTGTCAACAAATTTTGCCGATATGTGACGGTACACGCTAAGTTCGTGAACAAAATAAAAGACTTTCGCCATGACAATTTGAAATCGCGATCGTTCATCTTTCTTAATCGATAAACCCATCGATTTCCTATTCTGTCATCTAAATTCACCTGATGAGATACATTTACTTGTCTTTTTTTTCACACTCTTTTTTCAACTGCGCATTGAACGGCAAATAAATATTTATGAGAGGAAGAATAAAGCGGACGGGAAAAGATAAGGCTACAATTTAGAGTAATAATAATAAAACATCATAATGAAACTAAATTGGGAAATAGTGCATTGAAAAACGAACTGTTTTGCTCGAGTTTTTATTATTTCAATCTCCCGCCAAACAAACACAAACACTTGCTCTTTTTTCGAAACTCACAACAACAAACCGAACACGATGACGGCTATGTATCAAATCTGTGTGGCAGCTACGTAATAACTGGTGTGAACAGTTGTGCAATAATTACAATTCGAAATTCACGGTCAATATCATATCGAATGTATGTGGTTTGTGTGTGTGTGTGTGTGTGTTTGTATTGCACGTTATTTACTTCTGTGAATTTTCCCCGATTCTGTTTTCTTATACAAACAACAAATATACAAACTCAAACAACATTGCATTTTGCATCGAGATCTCAATCAATTTAATTTGTTTGCAAAAAAACATTTGGTTTTGTTGATGGTTTTCATCAAAATGAATTGCACAAAAGACTTGCCGCCTGTGCCGCCTGCGGTTGCATCTTTGAACAAAACAAAAACTTGATAAAAACTTTAGAACTTCATGTACAATCCTCATTTGTTCAATTTCCGGCTTGTGACTTATTTGAATTTTGCTAATGCAAACGAAAAAAAAAATAGTCAACGTTTTTCGAGTAGGAACGGACACTGCTAATTAAAACGGTGTAAAAACAATCATAAGAACGTGCTTTTATTCAATTAAAATATAAAAAAATGTATACAGATCGCAAAAAAACGCTTCAATTTAATAAATGGATCTAAATTTATATTTTTGTTTGGTCATTCTAAATTTAATTACACCACGACATCTCGACAAATGAAAATGCCATTCAATGACCATCAAAACGTGACCAATTGCCACATTGGTGTTTTTAAATAGAAAAGCAAGAATTTATATTTTATATTTCCCATTTAAATCCTCTTTATCGAACAAATAAAATCATAATGTTTGGCACGAGATTCAATTGAATAAACATGTGATTCTACACGAGAAATAGATCGACCATTGAAATCACATGATTTGATTTTTAAAAACATTTTTGCGTGAATCCTATGTTTCGTCGCAAGAACATTTATATTCATTAAATGCCACGATCTTTATTCACTTGTAGCATCGTCGTGTATTTAATTGTGCATGTCGTGTGCTTTGACTCATAGTCGGAATATAAAAAATTCATTTTATTTGTGCAATGGAACTTCAAAGATCGGCTCAAAATTAAGAGTCTGTGTTGCTTCTGTATGTGTAGCTATTTCGTATGCGCGCCAATCAATGTGTGAAATAAATGCATACACCGTATCATAGAAGCCGCGATAGCGAACAAAAAAAGGCAATGTAAAAAGTGCATTATCAACAAACAATAGTTTGTAATTAATGAATTGCAAATTATAATTAATCAAATTCGTTGGATTTGCACGAAACTGTTGAGCTGATGAATTGTGCTTTTGTACTTGTGTAATTGTGATTTTTGTTCTAAACTCAAATCTCACAAAATTCTATTTTCATTCAAAGCAAATCAAATTTACCTGTTTTCCGTTCTCTTTTTCTGCTTTCAGATCTGAATCTGCGAATTTTTCGTTTTGTTTAGCAGCGTTTTGAGCGTAGAGGTGCATCATTCAAGTACAATTTTTAAGTTGATCCAGTGCGAATTTTATTTCATTTTCACGCAAAACGATAGCAATTCTCATAAATTGGTAAGTAAATGGACACCCATTATTAGAGCAGAGCAAATACGAATGAAAAAAAAAAGTAAAATCATTGGTCCAAATTGAAAAATGACAAATTATACGACAATTACACGGTGAATTCATTGCGAACCGATTTGATTTGCGTTGTTTTCATGCCATAAAAGTCTAATGACATCAAATATGGTTCAATTTTGTTACGTAGGGCCGCTGTGCTACCCGCTACGTCTATTATTCTAAAAAATGAAAACATTCATCTCAAGTAAATTAGATTCAGTTTGACAGCAGTTGGATTTTGTCACTGACAATCAAAAACACAATGCAAGCACAAAAATTGTACAATTTTTAGCTCATCGGTTCACCTACAATAAAAACTACAGATTTAAACTTTATTAAAGAGAACCCATTAGAAATAATTATATACATTTGATTTTGATTCTGAATTTCGTTTCGAATTATTTTGTAGTTGTTGTTGTTGTGACATTCAATGCTGTGTGTGAGTATGATATCGCAGCATCTCTACTCGACTCATTTATATGAATTAAAAAAAAAACGTATGCTAGAGAATAACGTTACCCTCTGATGTACACACAATAGAATCGCTTTTTCTGCTGATAATGATTAGGATTTTTTTTTCTTTCAAATTAAACAATACATGCCTAGCATTTGCAAATTGATGTGACTTAAAAAAAATATCTGCTTTGTGTGTTGTTGTTTTTCAATTTTCAATTAAACGATAATTTTTGAGAATTTTAACTTGAAATCGTTAATTTCGTCTCTAGTATAAAATTTCGCTGAGAATATACAAATTAATGATATATTTTTTCGCTTAAAGTGAAGTCTCCAATAAACAGTTTAAATGTGCAAGATGAGTTCGAATGGCAGGGTCGGTCCGTACCGAATAAATGTGCTATATCATCATTAAACAAAGCTTTTGATTCTTTCGCGGATTTGTTTATTGTATTTCATAATCAACAGATTAGACGAAATAGGAAAAACATAAAAAAACACATGTCATAAAGAGATTTAACTGAATCTCTTGTCGACAATTGACAAGACTAGACAATTCCACACAATAAATGACAGCGCCGTATTTGTATCTCAGACAGATTTTTTTTGTTGCACGAATCTTGTGACGCACGAATTTGTGTAAATGGTTCATTGTGTCAAGAACCAATACCTTGAGGGAGCTCACTTCAAGAAGTTCATGGATTCGTTGAGTTGCTTGCGCTTGCTCATTTGCACCAATCCACCTGGTGATTATATTATTCGATGCAAATGTCGCATACTCGATTTAAGTCATATCGAGTGATTTTTAATTAAGCATACATTCTCATGCATATAAATATTCGATACATAGCCAATTCAACTGGAGTACTTGATTTTAAAATGACCATTGTGCCCACTGTGCGACAATATATGCATTGGAATAAATTATTGTATGATGACAATGTAATAAAATTAATTCAGTTTATACAGTGGTGCGTCGTAATGGACACAGTGCATTGAAAATGTATGCCAATAACCTCATATCGATTGGAATTCGTTTTTTTTCTTTTTGAAGAGCGAATTGAATGAGGCGCCAACAGGTCATAGTCATAGATTGGCATAAGAAACTTAACGTAATTATAGTACCGATGCGTCCTTGGCTCATTCGCTTCTCGTGCCACTGTGTTATCCCTGATTCGAATTTAGACGTGCGTTCGATTGCATCGGTTTTTTCTACTTTATCATAGTTTTTTATTTTGAGTTCGAGTTTTATTAAATCGCTTCAAATCATGATGTAAATAACGATGGTAAATAAGTGTTGAACTAAAAATAATTATTTATGCAGATAAACATGCTGTGCAAAAAAACGCCATTAAAAACATTGACTCATTATAAATTGATAAGTTTGTTTCGGTTTGCTCAGCGCCAGTGCTGTTTTACAAGTTCTGTTTTGTTTTTATCATGTGCATAAGGAAACAGAAAATCAATTACGTTGAAATTGTTTGCGTTTTATTGTCATAATCAATAAATATTCGAAACAGAGCGTTTCCAAAGCTGACGCAAAAGCACTGAATTCAAATATTAATTTTCGAGCACATACACAGACCCGTAACCCGCTCAAGCAAATAAAAAATGAGAAGAAAAAAACAGTGTTGTAGTGACGATAAAAAATGTTTATTACCGCATTATTTAAGGTGATATCATTCAGATAATCAATGTCATTTGCATATGTTGTAGCGTTCAGTGCAATGTGTGATACGCACAATTTGGAACGCGCACAACGCTCAAAGTTCGATTGATTGCACGGTCACTTCAAATATAATCGGGGCTATACAGCTAATTCGCATTTGCATTTTGTCCAAAATGGTGTTGATCATAAATAAAACGAATGTTGCCTATTAATTGCGATGATCGATTGCGCAAATGATCCCACTTCAACGACATAAAGCACAAACGTTTCAGCACATGAGATGAATTCCGAACAAAAACTCAATACGTGAAATGAAAAAAATAATAATACACACACACAAACGTTTTATGTTGATCACGCGTGATCGCCAGTCATTTCCAACGAGAAACTGTTCTTGAGTATTGAATATGCGTCTGGAATCGATAATTTCACCTTAATTCCACTTGCTATTTCAAAGCCCATCCATGTCACTTTGTTTACTATGCAATTTCAATCGAAAAAAAAATAGTTTTGCATGGTGATAAAAACCGTTTTCGGAATAATAGAAAGAGATTGATGTGTGCTGCGCGTGAGCTTGTTTAGCAAGAGGAAGCAAATGGTAGGAAGCATTCATTATGTCAATTGCAATACGGAAGAGAATGGCTCAATAGTAATTTATTCTCATATTTTGACATGATATTTAAACTACGATGTCATTTGCATGAAGATGTGCCTCATTTGATTTTCATCCCCTTTCAAATATTCTTATTTTATTTTTATCTTCTGTTTTGTTGAAAAAACCGAGTCATTATGGAAACAATTTCTAGAAAAACCCGAAAAACCCGAAAAGTTCTCTGGAAAACGTGACACATCGTTCTGTTTAATATATAATTCGAGTGAAAACCTTCACAGGTTATGCACTGTGAATCGAAAGAGTTCATTCGACGACCAAAGTCACAAAACACCATAAAAACAATCGATATTTGGCAACTGTTTGTGTCAAGTTCAGTCAATATCATGGCGGCTATAACTTATGATTTAATCAGTGTTTTCATCGTCTACCACATTCCATTTTTATGTATGACATGGTTCAGATTCATTAAGTCTCCTTTCCTAATTTCAAGTGATAATCAACATTCAGATTGACCAGCCGGTATAGAATCTTGTTATAAAAACATAAACGCGTTTTTATTATGAATATATTAAATTTTTGTGACAAAGAAGAAGATATTTTAAAAAGTGACGCAAAGCAAACCTTTGGAACAAGGGTAAAATCTTTGCCGAAAGACGGAAGTTTTTTGCAAAATTGTTTCGCAAAATTTAAAAATCTATCAACATTTATCAATATGTTTCGAATGAAGCTAATAAGTTTATTGAACTTTTTTTAAAATATTGAAAATTCCAATGTGATATGAGAATGACTACAGTTCTGAGAGTGAACCGATTAATAAAACGATTTTAATTCTCTTATATACACAAAATGTGTTGAAATTTTGTTATGCAGCATTTTCGCAATATAAAAACCAGTCACTTGAAGAAGCAAGCGAAACAATCGATCGGCAGACTTTTTCAACTAGATTAATATAGCATTATTCAACATACCAACCAATTTGTTTTTAAACGATTCGAGAACATTATTGGGTACAAAGTTCCATTCGCCATTCACTAGACCTTTTTCATTTATGCAAATCAGCCCGCATAAAATGTTGAAGCCAATGCGCTTTTATCGTTCGTAACTGTCGTGCTACGATGTGTAAATTTACATAGAAATGTAAACACCACACGATCAGATGTTCATAACCAGTTGTTTTTATGAGACGATTGTGGCGCGTTGTCGTTGTCACAAACACTTACACCGTCCGCATTCGCACTTTGCAACTTCAAAATTGAACATATATATACTTTGAAAGTAACACGATTTTTCATACGCATTCACTAGCAGTCACGATCAAGTTTTTCATCGATCTTCTTTTATCCGGTTGTAACCGGCTACCCATGAAACTCTACCGCAATTGCAATCGCAATCGATTCGAGATTTAATTCAAATAAGTCATTGCACATAGATGCCATTCGATATGGAGTGGATAAGACGAGAAAATTCGAGTAATGCATACAAACAACATGAACGTGTGCAGACGACAACAATAAACATTATCTGTTTAAAAACGAATTCCAAATATCTATCAACATTTATGGATATCTTACATCTTTGCAACGTTAAGATAACAAAACTAGAAAAAAAAATCTGTATAAACAAAAACTAAAGCATAAAATTGATAAAATTCACCTTGAAGTGATCGACGAATGTTAATTCTTAGAAGAGAAAAGGTAATTTGATTATCGCCCTGCTTTTTCTTTCGTCGGATTATTTTAAAAAGTATTCACAAGTCAAGCCATCCAGCAAGTCAGATAACTTAACGTCAAGTTGTCAATGCTGTCCGTCATAGTATATAGCCCGTGCTGAAACCTGGGAAATGAAGACAAAAAATAAAACGTGAAACAAAAATCGTGAATTTGATTGACTCTTAACAGTGTTGTTCATCATAAAAATACACGCAACGGGACATACACGTGATAAACATCCACATCGAGAACTGAAACGCAAAATGTGGCTCAACAGAAAGAGAGAGCGTAGCATTCTAATTATGTGAAGAAAAAAACAAATCGTTGGCAAGGTCGTTCAGTTTGATTGGTTTGTGCGTACAGTGGGCAAGTCGTTCAGGTTGGCGCTTTGTATATTATTTCATCTAATTTATATCGAATTGACAGATCATTGAAGACAATGACATGACACAGTGTTTAACTATGTTTGTTTTTAAGACACCATTTACATGGCGAAACTCTTCTCGGC